CGACTGTTGTCTTTATACTTATTTTCTGATTGGGTCGTTGCCCCCTTAAGTGACCCCTTTGCTAAACGGAGAAGTCCCAGTTCACAGCGCTCGGACTCACCGATGATGGTCTCCACGTACTCAGAGTTGTCGTTGACGTTGAAGAGGTTGCCGGCTCCCAGGGCGTAGTTGAGCGATTCTTCAAAGGCCCCCAGGTGATAAAACACTTTTGAAGCCACCAAGGCGGCGAACTCGCGACTCCGGAAGCCGACATCTTCATACAGGATTTCACTGCAGCAAAAGATGAGGAAGTTGGGGGGGGGGATATCAGTTTATGGTTTCCTCTCTCCAATAAAGACCAAGTTTCATATTTATCATTATTTATTATTTTTTATTGATATCCCGCCTTTCCTGCACAGGCGGGCTCAAGGCGGCGTGCAACAGGTTAAAACACAATAAAACGCGGATGCATGAATGCAGTACTATGAAATTCACATCAGCAAACAATATCCATACAAAGTGCAGTTAAGTGCAGACGGCGGTTGCTGTGTGATGGCCCAGTGTAGCTAGACCAGTATCCATGCTTGTTCTTAGTGCCAGTAACGTGAGGGCCATAACGGTTCAGTTTTTAATTGCTCAATTCATCAGTGGTGGCTCCTAATCAAAGGCCTGGTGGAAGAGCTCCGTTTTACAGGCCCTGCGGAACTCTTAAAGGTCCCGCAGGGACCTGATGTCTTCCGGGAGCTCATTCCACCAGTGTGGAGCCACCACTGAGAAGGCCATAACTCTGGTTGCGGCCAATCTGCCGTCTTTTGGACCAGGGAGAGTCAGGCGATTTTGCGACCCTGACCTCGGTGCTCTCTGGGGAACAGCCCAACTAGTATCTCTTGGTCAGTGGACCCGCAACTCTCAGCCAGGAATATTATCGGCTTGTCAGCACGCACTTCATCTACACGGAGCCAGGACGCTTTTCAATCATGTGCTCTGTAGAAACTGACCACCCTGTCCCCCAAGGGAGAACAACAGCTGTCTTACATTTTGTCTACGGACTCAGAAATCTCGGCCCAGAAGTCATTGACAACAGCATTCAATTTGTGAAGAGCAAATTCCTAAAGAGAGAGAGAGAGAGAGAGAGAGAGAGAATCAGGTTATCAGAGAGCACTACGAATGATAGTCACAGTGATAGAGGTTTGTTCTTCAAAGTGTGAACATATCGGACATCCAAGCATTACCACTTGCTGTATCTGCATCTGAAAGGACAAAGCGTCCAGACACCACTTTCGTAATCAATAATCCTCACCCGGAAAGGACTCAACCATCTAGTTCTATATTCTGTATACTAGAAGATAAACCCCACTAAAGAAATACAGATGCTACAGGGTTGGCCATTTGACTGGCTGGTCAAAAAGATGTGATTAAGTGACCAGTCAGATATTGATTACATACTGCACTAATCTATTAGCACACAATAAAAAGTATATCTTAAATCATTAGCAGGCTTGATACAGAGGCTGATTTCAATCAACTAGTTAACTGCTATTGTGCAAAACATGAAGCTAGTTTACCATTCATGCAAGGCTATTGTACTTTGGTCATAGAACCATAGAATGTTAGAGTTGGAAAGGACCTTGCAGGTCATCTAGTCCAACCCCCTGCACTGCAGGAGCAGAGCCGAAAGACAGCTGTATGACATATCCAAAAGTTGGTCATCCAGCCTCCACTTGAAAACGTCCAGCGAAGGAGCATCTGCCACCCCCCGAGGCAGTCTGTCTCACTGCTCAACCACTCTGACAGTCAGGAAGTTTCTCCTGATATTCAGCTGGTATCGACTCCCTTGTAATTTCCACCCATTAGCTCTAGTCTTGCGATCCGGAGCAAGAGAGAACAGATCTGCTCCATCTTCTACATGACACCCCTTCAGATACTTGAAGACTGCAATCGTGTCCCCTCTAAGCCTTCTCTTTCCCAGGCTAAACAGACCCAACTCCTCTTTCCCAGGCTAAGCATACCCAGGTTAAACATACCCAAGTTATGAGACCTTAAGAGTCCCTTAGACGGATTGACTCAATCAAGGGAGTAACGGCCCTCCGTTTGAAAGATCTGAGCAAGGCTGTTAAGGAAGGACGCTCTGGAGATCGTTAATAGTGAGTCCAAAGCAACTTGATGGCACTGAACACATACAAGACATAAGGCTTTAAATGGACTTTTAATGATTTAATTTTAGGACTGAGCTACCCTATTCTTCAGCTTGCGTTCCAGAATGACAGGATCAATCTACGGTTTTTATGAATTTTATGGATAAATAAATATGAAATTGAAACAGAAACAAAGCAAAGTGGACAGCAACACTGCTTGCCTGGCAAAGCTGCAGCTACAGCCAGTGCCCGCAAAGAGGTTTGCCATGCCCCCAATGGCTGCAAGTTACGCCTCCCCCATTCCTGCCCAGCTAACAAGGAGAGAAAACAGTGGTTCTTTTTTTTTTTTAAGGTAAGCAACTAAGTCATCAAGCAGTACCAAGATTCTTCCCTTCACGGAGTATTTTACCATGGTCAAATAACAGACCAACTGGCAGCATCTGATCAATCCAATGACTGCCGTGCCCACACTTGATATGGAACACATGAAGCTACCTTATACTGAATCAGACCTTGTTGCATCCAAGTCAGAATTACCTGTTCAGACCAGCAACAAACCTCCAGGGTCTCAGGCTGAGGCCTTTCACATCATCTCCTGCCTGGTCTTTTTTAACTGGAGATGCCGGGGATTGAACCTGGGACCCCCTGCATCCCAGGCAGAGGCTCTTCCACTGAGCTACAGCCCCTCTCTGCAGCTCTCCAGGGTCTCAGGCTGAGGTCTTTCACTTCACCTCCTTGCCTAGGCTTTTTAACTGGAGATGTCGGGGATTGAACCTGGGACCTCCTGCATCCCAGGCAGAGGTTCTTCCACTGAGCTACAGCCCCTCTCTGCAGCTCTCCAGGGTCTCAGGCAGAGGTCTTTCACATCATCTCCTGCCTGGTCCTTTTTAACTGGAGATGCCAGGGATTGAACCTGGGACCTTCTGCAGGCCAAGGAGAGGCTCTGCAAGTGACCCACATTCCCCTCCCCATTTCTTGCTCCCAAGCCGGGTTCTGATCTTTCTTTGACAGAGGCAGAGTGGTGAACTGTCATCTCCCAAGCAGCAAATCAGAGACGACAAAGCCTCGGCTAAGTCCCATGAGAAAAGCCCTGCTAGGTCAGACCAGTGGTCTGCCTATCCCAGCATCCTGTCTCAAAGAATGGCCAACCCATTCCCCTGGAGGCCCAACAACAGGGAATAGAAACCAAGGCCTTCAGAAGGGCATAAGAAAAGCCTTGCTAGACCAGTCTAACGGTCCATCTAGTCCAGCATTCTGTCTCACACAGCGGTCAACCAGTTCCCTTAGATCGACCCTTTCCCTTAAATCTTTACTTGTCCACCAGGGACAAGGGTCAGTTTTGCTTTGCTCTTTGAACCCAAGAAGGTTTGCTGCAAAAAAGTTTAAGAATGCCAGATGTAGTCCAGCTAGATTCGAATCCGGTAGCAGCAGATTCCAGTGACCATCGGCAGAGTCCACTGGGGTGTGTTTTCTCACAGTGGGGGGGCTACCTCTTTTCCACGGCTTCAGCTGACCTCATTGCGGGACTTCTTAACCTGCTGACCAACGGTTTGCATTGCATAGTCCACTGTATATTTTAATTAAATGGTGCTTGAACCAGTTTGGTGCCGTGGTTAAGTGCACGGACTCTAATCTGGGAGAACCGGGTTTGATTCCCTACTCCTCCACTTGCACCTGGCTGGATGACCTTGGGCAAGCCACAGTTCGGATAAGAGCTGTTCTTGAAAAAGAGCCATTTCTGTCAGAGCTCCCTCAGCCCCACCTCCCTCACAGGGTGTGGGGAGGGAAAGGAGTTTGTAAACCGGGTTTGATTCCCTACTCCTCCACTTGCACCTGGCTGGATGACCTTGGGCAAGCCACAGTTCTGATAAGAGCTGTTCTTGAAAAAGAGCCATTTCTGTCAGAGCTCCCTCAGCCCCACCTCCCTCACAGGGTGTGGGGAGGGAAAGGAGTTTGTAAGCTGCTCTGAGACTCTGAGTGAAGGGCAAGGTATAAATACAAATGTTTATTAAGGTGTATTATTAAGGTGTACACATGTTAAAACATACTATGATTAAAAGAAAGAGTCTAAATTTCAGACTTATAAAAGCTTATAAATGCTTATCTAAGCTTTTAAAAGTCTGAAATTTAGACTCTTT